GGAGGAAGTATTCAAGCATTTGAAAGTAGCAAACCTCAAACTCCATCCCAAGAAGTGCCACTTGTTCCAGAAAGAGGTGCTTTACTTAGGTCACATTGTAAGTGAGCATGGTATGCAAACTGATCCTGACAAGGTGAAAGCAGTGCGTGACTGGCCAACACCTGACAATGTGGGAGAGTTAAGAAGTTTCTTGGGACTCCTGAAGTTTGTGAAGGACTTTGCAACTATAGCTGCTCCACTACATGATTTGACTAAAAAAGCCTCCGCTCCACTTTTAAAGCTTCCAGATCTCTCACTGCCATACATACTGGATTGTGATGCTAGTAATGTCGGAATTGGAGGAGTGTTGTCTCAGAAAGTGGGCAAAAACGAACATGTGGTGTCCTACTTCAGTAGGGTTTTGAGTAGACCAGAGAGAAACTTCTGTGTAACATGGAGGGAACTCCTTGCTATAGTAAAGAGTCTGACATATTTCCATCCTTACCTCTATGGTGCAAGGTTTACCATCAGGACAGACCATGCTGCATTATGCTGGTTAAGATCATTAAAGAATCCAGAGGGACAACTGGCACGTTGAATTGGAAAAATAGACCAGTATAATTATGATATTGAAGGAAAATCTCATGGAAATGCTGATGGACTGAGCCAAAGGCCCTGCAAAAATGACTGCAGACATTGCTGCAAGAGAGAGGTTGAGCTAACCAGGTGTCATCAAGCTGAAGTCAAAGTGACTGAAGGAGTTGATGATGGTGAAATGGAAGCAGGTATAGATATTAAATCAGAGCAGGAGAAAGACCAAGATTTAAAGCCAATAATTGATTTTCTGAAAGCAAGTGTTTTGCACCCTGTTTGGGAGAAGGTGTCTAGTCTAAACCCTGTGACAAAGAACTATTGGGCACAATGGGACCAGTTGAAGCTTGAAGATGGTATTCTTCTCCGGAGATGGGAAAGTGAAGACCTGACAAACAGTTATACCGAGAAAGTTACGGGAAGTTATGCTGCGTCAATCCCATGATACTTTAACAGGAGGACATCTCGGAGTTAAGAAGACATTGAGTCACCTACGACAGAAATTTTACTGGATAGGTATGAGGCAAAATGGGGAAAAATGGTGCAGAACATGCAGTACATGTTGTGCTAAAAAGGGGACCCAAGCATAAGGGACGTGCTCCAATGAAGTTATGTCAAGTTGGCAAGAAATTATACGGGAAATTAACTAACGACCAGAGACGTAACCACAGGAAAGATCATTCAGTACTGTAATTTACGGATAAAAAATAAATTATTTCTAAATAAATTAACCAGGCATCACGTGAATCCTTTTTAATGGACTGTTAACGTTTAAGAAAAAAAAATGTTTTGCACACTTGCTTTTGGACAAACGCAAAACAAGACTAACTTTACCATCAAGTTTATATTGTGCCACTTCGTTATATGCTATGACGCTTTTTCAGCGGACTCGTGGCGATGTCTAGCAACGAAGTGATGAGATTAGATTACTTATTAATAAAAATATTCCATGACATTTTTTTTGTGTGGTATCTGAACATTGTGGGGTCATTTTGTAAGTATAAAGATTTGACATCATCTATTTCTGTGAAATTCGATGGTTATTTCTTGATAGTTGAATTGTAGAATTGATTTGGCAATTGGTTCTTTATACAGTTCGCCAAAAGTTTGTACGGCGTAGTAAACGAGAGTAAAACGGAAACGCTACTATTCCGTTCGAATAGTGACGTCACTTACGCAGTTATTGGGATGCCACAATTAGTAATTTTCGTGAGAGTTTTACACGCGAGAACTCTATTTACCACGACTGTAAATGACATGAAACATTACCACGATTCATCGTAAAGTGACTAATTAATGTATAGCACGCGATATGCATTCGTATCTTCTCGACACTATTGTATAGAAAGTATAAAAAAAAATATCACGTGAAACAATAGTAAGTGAATATTGTGTTTCCGGGAATTTTTATAACTGTTTTATAAATATTCATTCTTTTTATTGCACCAATATGATTTACTAGAGCAATTTGAAAAGGACATTGGTCTTTGGGTTTTGAAAATACAGAGGAAACTAGCTGCTTTTGAATGAAAATAACATCAACTTTCTTCCGTTCAGTTCGTGTGTACTCTGGACGGTACGTTTCAGGAGAAAGTGAAAAAAAAATGTCTGGGAGGAAACGGGCGGGTCGACGCTTAAAAGCAGCTGTGAATCACTGACCTGTTCTGTAAGCCAACATAGATCACGCTAGTTTAGTAACTAGAAAAAAAAAAAAAATGGTTATGTCTAGAAAACTCGTCACTATAAGCAAGAACAGTAAGGTGACGTGTAAAGGCCTAATACGTAGGTTATTTTGTACGATAATAAAATATTACTAAAATATCAACGCATCACAAATAAATAAGACAGTTTGGTCTGTTTTTCCTGTAGTTTTTATCATTAAATTAAATCGCCTACCAATCATAATTTGATGCAGCTGTTGTGTTACTGCTGTTATGTAGAGGTTGCACTAGGAATGATTTTTTGTTGCTAAACCCTAGTTTTCATAAATCATGGTTTTAAAGCTTTGAAAGTAATTGTTTCCGCTTTTTATTCAATGAATTCGAGTCTTACTTTGTATTATTATTATTAAAGTGTTTCTGGTTTATAGCAAATTTGTAATTTTTTTTTATGTTTATTAATATTTGCTTTGGATTGTAGTTTATAGAATTTTTTATAGTTTTTACATTTATGTTAAATTGTGGCTCGTAACGGTTCCAAAATATTGGTTGAAAAAACGTATTTTTTGCTGTTTAAGAGCAAATAACCTTATTTCTTCAAATGTATGCTAGTTTTTGGCCACATAACCTCTCATGGAACTTGCAGTGGATTGAGCTTTGTTAATTTGTTAAAACATAGATTTTTAGATTGAAGATAATTAGCACGTATTACAAATTAAATTGTTATTGACCCTCATTTTTTACAAACGAACACAAACACTTGTACCTCAAGTTTTTCACTGTATACACGAATTTAGTAATTAAACATAATTAAAAGTACAACATTATATTGATCTCTGCTGTAAGCAGCTACTCGTTAGGATGAGAATAATTATTTCTCTTATCAGTGTTGTAGTTTGTATCAACTTACCAATGTAGACGGATGTACCCATGATCCCCAGGAGGAAGTGGCATTTTTCTAAGAATCCCAGAGCTTATCTCCGACACTGTACCCCTTGAAAAAAGCTTTGAGTAAAGCCTAATACCATTATGTCTAGGACAAAGTCGCTTGTATTTTTACAAAAGCCACAGTTTTGGTGGGATAAAAAAAAAGTCTTAGCTCATTGCTAATACAGCAGCATATTCAATGTAATACAGAACATATTACGATGTAGGCATAATGGTGTTTGAAGTCTAGTAATGTATTGCAGTACTTGTGATGGGTATAAGTTAAAAATATTATAAGTATGTGTACTTCAAGCTTTAACTGTAAATTAATGCTACCTTACATGTTGTTAGCTTTCAAAATCAGTTTTACTTTTCATGTTATTATCTCTAAAATAATTCTGTCATAGATGATGTAAAGTTTATGACATTAAAATATAATATTTCTGCCAATTGTATTTTAAGAATTGATAAGCTCATAATATTGCACACAATTGTTGTTAACCTCAAAATTCTTTACGTAGGTTTGGTTAAATTGTAACATCTGTATTTATAGAATCTATTCTTGTGTAAGTACTGTATGTTGTTAATTCTATGAAACTTATGTTTTATACACTGCTCATTTCATAAGATGTGTACATTTGTCTTTGTCGTCTATGTCACTCTATCTTCAATCACATTTCATTATGAAATTAGTTGTCAGTGTTTTCTCCATCAAATTCTGTTTCACTACTTTTGTTTGCAAAATGCTATTTGAAAGTGAGGATCCATCATTATTGGTAAAGTGAAACTTGGACTGCTTTGTATTCCAGCATGTATCATTTTCTCAAGGATACTTTGGTTATTTCCAGTCAGAAGTGACTTGTGTTATTTTCTGACAGAATACGAGTTTATGACGAAGAGTATCTACAGTGACATAACTTCTGAAATTATTGAGTCTGTAAAACTGTTGTTTTTAATAATTTATTCAAATTGTCTTAGCACTTTTAAACATGCTCAAAAAAGGATCACTGACCATTGTTGAAGTTTGGGATGTTGTCATCAACACAGAGGCACATTGCTCTCTCTTGTTCCAAAAGCCTTTCAAGCTTTCAAAAGTGCTTCACAGTTATGGCTTAAATGCTAAAAGATAGCAAAGCATGAGATTCTGGTAGGTGTAATATTTCTGATAGAAGTCGCTTAAACTGTAAATGTGTTTTTGTTTTTTTTCATTCTTTTTAATTTACTCTATCTTTTGTTTCCCACAAGTTACTGTCCAGGCCTTTCATCTCTATCTTTTGTCTCCTACAAGTCAGTGTCTAAACATTTCATCTCTATCTTTTACCTCCCATAAGTCAGTGTCCAGGCCTTTCATCGCTATTTCTTTTCTCCCACAAATCACTGTCCAGACCTTTCATCCAAGAACAGAACTCCTCAGTTGATGAAAGGTTTTCTGGTCAGTGACTCATGGGACACAAAACATAAAGTATGTAATATTGTTTGAAAATTCAAATTGTTTGCAACTGAAATGTACAAATTAAGAAGAATGTGAAACATCTGCAGGTTAAGTGATTGTAACATATGTAGCAGGCTTATTGGTTACACAGTTTGCATTTCACTTTAAAATCACCAACTACTTCAAAGTAATCTCATACAGGACTCTTTCCATTTTTAATAAATCACTTGTGATGATGAATAAACACACAGATTATCATCTTCACTCTTCTAATAGCAATTTATAAACAAAGACCAAGATCAGTGTATGCTCTTCTAATGACAGATCTGTGCATGTATTGTTTACTGACTATTAAAAATACTTGGCTGAATGTTGGGTATCCAGCTGTAACACTGTCTATTGGACCTCCGTAGGAAATAATGCATTTTAGTGGTGTGTGTAAGGGGAAGTTTGTAACAAGATGCGAGTTAACCACTTAAAAAAAACTACTGAGGTAGAATTCCAAAAATGAAATTATAGTAGACCATTTCATATATTCTAAGGTGAAAAACCAATGCATGTGTTTATACTTTCTTGTCATAAAATGTTTTATATTCATTTTCAAAATCTGCTAATGGATATGTTTTATAAAGCCATTATAGCATGTATGTGTGGTGTAAACCAGAATTGTTAATTTACTATGTCAGACTAGTGATTTGTCATAATTGTGCTCTGTGGTTGGATTATAATCTATTTGAATCATTCTCAATCTGGGTGTGTGCTTGAAAAAGGAATTTCTTTTCCAGAAAAAAAAAGATAAATATTAGTTTGGAATTATAGAGTGAGAAAGATTTTTAAATGATGTTTTAAATTTATTTTACTGAGTTTAGCACATGGACATAGCTGTTTGTGCTCGTAATTACTAATCACAGTATACATACTTCATTGAAAAAATTTAGAAAAAGTGAACATTTTGTAAAAAACGATTTTTTTTCTGGAAAGTACAGCATGGGAAAAGTGTTCGTATTATTCTCTTTAGTCATACACAACTCATTGCATCAAAATGATTCAATGTACAGAGCTCAAAATTTTCATACATTTTACTGAAATAAACTGTAATATTTTTTATATGTTAAAAGTGGTATCGTTTATTGAAAAAAATAATAGTAATAATAAGTACTGTATAATCAAACCCTTATGTACAGTCCTTGCAAAAATCAAGTCGTGCCCTTGTTCTGAGGAGAGTATGTTTACTTAAAATTGTGTTTTATTATAAAGAAATGGTTGTTGCACATACTACAGTTATTTTTCTAATTGTCAGAATCATGAATTCTCAAAGTTTGAAAATTTTTATGGATTTCTGTCTGTGGTGCCATTCAGTAGATGGTGCAGGAGTTTTGGTTACATACATAGATACTGATATACACACTAAGTTCATTATAGTAAGAAAGATGGTTCATACTTGTTTAAACAGTGATATGTTTTATTTGTTGTAAATTTTTATAATAGGTTATTAACAAAAGTTGTTAATTTAACCTTTAGGGTATTCTGGGTTGATATGTATATTGTAGGAGTTTAATGTAATTAATTTATTAACAAATTTTAAAGGAATGCAGAAACTGTATTTGCTAAAATGAAGTCTTGCTTTCAGGTTTGCTGAGTGTTGAAGACTTCATCACCATCATGGCAGACACACTAGCTGAGACAACACACTGGGGAAATCTAAAGACAGAAGTTGCAGGATATGTTGGGATAGACACATTACAGGAACAAATTAGGAAAAAGGTCCTAAAACGAGGCTTCGAATTCAACATTATGGTGGTTGGTGAGTGGGTCACTTAAAAAATGTTGTTTCCTCAGAGTTTCTGAAAATTGCCTGTGACATACCCCAGCAATACAGGCTAACTTTCTCAATATTTTAGTCTCAAGATTACTTATTTCATGGATCTGCTTTCAACTTGAAAATGTCTACACCTGTGTAGGGTGGTGTGAATGTAGATCCAAGCCCATACCTTTAATACTTAATATCTAGGTTGTTACCCTAGGCTTAGGGTAGGTCTTAATATGACATCATCAAGAATGGTTTACCATATATATTTTTAAAGCTAATTTTTTCATGATTTTATTAATGATTCTGATGCACATGGAGCATGGTACTTACAAAAAAAAAAAGAGTTCAAACAGAAATTTTTTCACCTTATTTCAATGATAAAGTTTTAAAAGCTGAAAATGACATTAGTTAATATAAACAATCGTTTTTGTGGTTTACGTTAATGTTACATGTACGAATATGAATATATATATATATATACTCTCACAATACTTTAGTCCTCTTGTAGGTTAGTATGTTATAAACATAACAGATTAATATTTTCAAATAAAATATTTTGATTTTCCACCCATTGATGAGTACAGTTTGTTTTTCTTTTATATGAAAAAGCTGCTCCCCATTGTAAAAGCTCAAAAGTCAACATTTTAAAAAATTTGTTTAAATTCAATCAATTTTTTAACAAATGGGAAACATCTTATGTACAGAGTTTGTTTGAAAGCCATTATCAGTGTAAGTAGAATATTAGGTTACACACTGTAGCGTAACTATGCTGATGCAGTGGCATCGGGGCCCGCATCTGAAAGGGGCCCAAACACGAATGTCAATAATGAAAATAAAAACATTGATTTTATGCACCTATGCAATGCTTGTTTTTAAGTATGAAAAAAATTGCCAAAAGATGGTGCAAAAATATCAGTTGTGTCACTTGTATGTCTCCAAGTGGTTGTGTATTAGTTGTGTCACTTGTATGTCTCAAAGTGGTTGTGTATTAGTTGTGTCACTTGTATGTCTCCAAGTGGTTGTGTATTAGTTGTGTCACTTGTATGTCTCCAAGTGGTTGTGTATTAGTTGTGTCACTTGTATGTCTCCAAGTGGTTGTGTATTAGTTGTGTCACTTGTATGTCTCAAAGTGGTTGTGTATTAGTTGTGTCACTTGTATGTCTCCAAGTGGTTGTGTATTAGTTGTGTCACTTGTATGTCTCCAAGTGGTTGTGTATTAAATGAATATGTTAAAGAAATAAAGTGTAGGTATTTATATTATTATGTTAAAAACTTAAAATATTTTAACTAGTGAAGAATATTTAGAAATGACAGTTAGCTTTCAGAGTGTGACAGCCTTTAGGCCTGGCAGTGCTAATTTCTTTTAATTTTTATTTACTTTTTTACGATGTTTGGAATTTGAGGAGACACACCTTGAACAGTGGTATATAGTTGGAGAATGAAGTGCATTGTATGATTTTTGTGTGTTTACGAAATTATGTGTATGTGTCTGCTTCTATAACATTCATTTAGTTAATGTTTAGTTTATATCATATGTAGTAATATATGTAATTGCATTGGGGCTGATATTCTCTAGTTACGCAACTGGTTACAAAGTATCTTTTCAACTAATGTTGACAGACATAACTATATATTGTGAAACTAGTGGGTTATATGAAATACAAAATTAGTATTTTAGGGTTTTAGTTTTAAGTTATTAACATGTTAATTTGAGGTAGATATATTCATAATAAATTTGTTTTCATACTGAGTGAAAGAAGATAAAATAAATTATAGTCTTTGTTTTTTAACTCAAATATGTTCAAATATTAAAATGTACTTGTTTTTCTTAATGCAGCATTTTAAAAAGAAAACAAAATGTTATTTTATCTTGGAAAAATTATCTTTGCTTACAACTGGAAATATGAAACCCTAGTTTCTCATCCTTAGCCCTAGTTGTTACTTTGTAATAGGATAGTATGTTTTTGTGAAAGTTGATTCATGATTTAAAAAACTTTGTACTGATAGGAAAAAAAAAGGGTTTTAAATCATATAAATATGAGGTATAACATAATACCAAATAAATAACTACTTGCATATTTATAAAATTACACACGAAAAACTTTAATGTATATATAAATGATGTAGATGCTTTTGTATACTTAGTGTAATGTATGCTAACTGTATATGTAAAGTTTTTTATACAGATTAGTAAACTTGCATTACACACACACACACACATTTTTTAATTTTGCTACATGTATAACATTCATTAATGTTAAGTTTATTGGGATAGGTTTTTCTTTCACTTACTGCTATAACAATTAGTTATCCATTGTCTATTCTAGTTTCTCATTTCTTGAATCTGTGTATACATCTTTTCAGGTAGAAGTGGGCTAGGTAAGTCGACTCTGATCAATACTTTGTTCAAAGCCAATGTGAGTCTGCGTTCTTGTTCTAAAAGTGAAGAAAAGGTTGAGATTCCAAAGACAACCCATGTGAAATCTGTTAGTCATGGTAAGGAAAAGCTAATTAGTTTGGTCTAAGATGAAAAAGAAAATAGATTTAGGATTAAGTTGCTAAAACCTTTCAACTAGTTATCACTGTACTTTATACATAATCCCAACTTTTTATGTCATAAAGTTATTTGAATCAAATATTATATACATACATAAATGTGTAACCAAATACTTTTTCAAAACAATTTCATGCTTTTATATAAAATAGTTTAGTTTTTATGAAAATGTGAACCTGTTTTGAAAAAAGTTTTCAGTAAAACACAATTATACATAGTATTTAGTTCAAATTAACAATAAGTATCAAGGTACTTCATACCAGTTTTTAACACACTATGCATGTATATATATATATTCATTAGTTGTAGCAATAAGTAAATAAAATGTTTCATAAAAAAACACCTTCTGGACTACTCAAATTTAAATACTAACTACTAATCCTGTTTAGATTTGTGTCTCAGTATAATAATGAATAAGAACATACTTTTGGGCAAGTCCAAAAATATAAAAATATCTAAAAGTATTATTGATCATGATTCTAGTGTCCTTTGTAACTGAAACTAATGCAAATTTCTCTATATTTGAAACCTGAGGAGACATGGCTTTTGGAAAAGAGGGGAAAAGAAAATTTGTATTGGTCCTTTTTTTATTTCAAAATCATTCGCTTCATATTAGTATTTTGATCAATAGTGGTAGTTATGTGATCAAGCACAAATTTATATGGTTGTCTTTCTTATGTAATTTTTGCTTCATTTTACCACATAAAGAAAGGAAGTTCCTTTAGGTTTGAATAAATTGATAATTTGTTTGCTTATTGACAGTTGTGTGAATGTGTAAAGAGTGATGATGAAAAATTTGTCAGTCTTTCTTTACTTGGAAGCTGAAGTTCAAACAATTCATTAAGTTCACATTATTTAAGGCTTTCTTAACCATGTGCCCATCTGATTGTCAGTTAGCCTGAACCAACAAAGCAACTTGTTTTATGTAATTCACAAAAATAAAAATGCTTCTGGGCTATGCACTTGTTCCTTTCATTTTATTCAGCTAACCCATAAGGACAGAAAGATGTTAGTACGTTAAATTTATATCTACAGCAGTTGACCCAAGGAATATCAGAAATATGAAACTGAAACAGTGTGTGAGCTGTTAGATCTTTGATGCTTTTTTTACTCTGTCGTACTTTTTCAGAAGTATTTTATCTAGGCGTACTGTTGAAATCAGAACTAAAAAGTTAGACAAGATTAATCATATGGAACCAAAACCTGTGTATCAAATTTAACAGCTATGGCATGAAGTGTCTAGGTTTTTTATTAATTTAAAGGCATAAATCTATTTCAACAGTTTTCACTATACATGTAACATTTTTATATGAGCTATAGTTACTTTAATTCACAAGATGATATTCTTTTCATCCCTTAAGCTTCTGTTTGTAATTCATTTTGCATTTATTTAACAGTCACACACGTTCAAGTGATCTGTTTTTTTAACAGCTATTAAGCCGTGCTCTTTCCCTGTTATTTACATTTTGCCCAATGAAGAAGTGAACAGTAGGAGTCTTCTTTTATCAATATTTTCTTTTTTTATTGTAATGTTTATCTGACATCTTTATTATGAAGTAGTATTTTTAATTTACTTTGATACATTAAAAAACCTTTTCAGAAAATTTAAAAATTCCATGCATCAACTGTTCTATAGATACTAATATTTTCTAAAGACCAAAAAATTTCTTATTAAGTACTTAATCAAATATGAAAATTTGTATTTAAAATGTAATAATTTTAAAAATTCATGTGTTCCTTTGACCTACGATTCACATGCTTGAGATTGGTGAAGTTTAAAAAATTGCCCAACATCTGACTTTGCATACCACAACTAATGTGTTAGTTTCAAAAATGTAATGGGGCTATTAGTAGTCTTATGCTTCGTTATAGAACTCCCAAGTGCATATCAGTTACTTTGGGAAATATCAACCACACTAATGTATCTAGAAATGGTTTCCTACAGAATGTGTGTTGAAACATCTTTGATATTGTACATAAACCCTTAAACCAATCTCCATTCAAGCATAGTTCATTTCATTATAAATATGTCAGTAGCATAGTATCAAAGTAACATATGCGTTGATGTCCTAGTAATTTCTTTTCATTCAAATAAAACCTTTATCTTAAGAGTAACTACATATGCAAATATTGAAGAAATAAATGCCATCATATGAAATTATATCACTTATGAATAATAAAATACCTTGTGATATTCAGTTTACTCAATCATGTCCCATTGATTAAAAACTTAAAACTAGCTGCATCTATCAGTATTTCAATTTTTCAGTAAGATACATAATTGTACATCATATAGATATAGACTTAATAATATGAAATAATCAAAAGTTAAAGAAACACTGATTTAATGGAACATGAAATCTATTTTTATTATGAATCAGCATGTAAACTGTTATAAGTTGGGTTTCACACCACTTCCTCAGGTGATACTAAACATTAGTGATGTAATATAAAGTTGTTAAAATTAGAATGCCTCAATATCATCATCGTGGATATTTGTTTATAAGAAAATTATATAAATGGAATAACATGTTAATTAGGTAATGTATGTTTGAACAATGAATACAGCAGAGAGGTTGTGACAACTTTACTAAAGTTAGAAGAAAAAAAACTGAGATCCTTTCTTTTGAAATAATCATAATAAAGTTGTTATAATTTTGTTAAATAACATTCCTATTGTTCCCTTAAAAGATGATACCCACTTCATTAGATGAATGATACTAATTTATGGTTGAAACACTGAAATACAAGTAACACATGATGATAAATCATGATTGAAATAGTGAATTGCAAGTAATGTATTTAATCATTAAACAATGAAACGAGTAGCAAATGATAGTAAATCATGAATGAAATGGGGAATTGCAAATAGCGCATGACATTAAATCATGGTTGAAATGGTGAATTTCAAGCAACACTAAATCATGAAACAAGTAGCAAATGATAGTAAATCATGAATGAAATGGTGAATTTCAAGTAACTAAATCATGAAACAATGAAAGAAGTAGCACATGATAGTAAATCATGAATGAAATGGGGAATTGCAAATAGCACATGCTATTAAATCATGGTTGAAATGTGAATTTCAAGCAACACTAAATCATGAAACAATGAAACGAGTAGCAAATGATAGTGAATCATGAATGAAATGGGGAATTGCAAATAGTGCATGATATTAAATCATGGCTGAAATGGTGAATTTCAAGCAACACTAAATCATGAAACAATGAAACGAGTAGCAAATGATAGTGAATCATGAATGAAATAGTGAATTGGAAATAGCACATCGTATTATTGTTGAAATAGCAAATTAAATCACTATTTTGAAAAGAGCTGATGTTATGTTTAAGGTTAACTTCAGAGTATAAAGTACCGTAAATTGTCTTGGCTCTAAATGGGAATGTCTTCATTTTTGCAGAACTTGAATGACTTGAAAAAGTTCTTGTCTTTGTATATAAGTATATGCTACTCCTAGAAAAAAGAAAGCGAGAGACTCGTTGATGTACCATCTGAAATTTTTAAAAACTGTCCATTTCAGCAAAAATAACCAAATATTAGCAAAATTTCTGTTGTTTACATAAGTATGTAATTATCTATGTGGAGAAATGTCATAACATATATATATTATGACAGCCATGCTGAGCTAACTGTGCATGTATAGGAAAATGGACTTCCACGTCTCAGAAATGTTTTCATAATCTAATTAATTTCTAATTGTTTTTTTACATATATTTGTGTATATAAATGGTGCAATATTGAAAGAACCTGAGTTTAACCTTCTGTTTAATAATTATAATAGAATGACTTCAGAATACCCACAGCATGATCAATTTAAAAGCATTATATGTATTATAGTTTACATTTTGGTATATTTGAAGTCAAAGATTAACAATATTGTATTATTATTTTTAGTCATTGAAGAAAAAGGTGTGAGATTAAGATTAACTGTCACAGACACTCCTGGGTTTGGTGATCAAATCAATAATGATAACTGGTAAGTTGTATCATTCCACACAACTCTGGAATTTATTAGCTAACTCCAGTCCAGCTTCACCTGACATCAATGTTAATCAGAGGTTTTATGTTTAATGGCTGTTTTTTTTTGTTAATCATTGAAAATTATTCATATATTATGTAACTAAATATTGCAAGTTAAAAATTTTAGTCAATGGCAGGAAGGTCTTGAATGCTATACAGTTCGACCCCCACAGTGGCACAGCGGTATGTCTGCAGAATTACAACGCTAGAAACCGGGTTTCAATACTTGTGGTAGGCAGAGCACAGATAGCCCATTATGTAGCTTTGTCCTTAACTTCAAACAAAGCTATACAATTCATATGTTTATTGTTTAAAAATATATTTAAATCTAAAAGTATAAAACTTGCTGATTACTGTACAGTTTGCTATAAGACATTAACTTCCAACTTCTTATAGCTAGTACAATTGTTCTTAAATGCATCTATAAAAGCTTCAGTATCAGTGCTTAGAAAAGTTGAAAATATGTTGTATGCTCTAAAAATACTGATATTCTATTATCAAAAGCTATTGCAAATATAAATTTTTGGGAGGAATTAAAAGTCACAAAGCACCATGGCAGTATTTTAATTATTACATCACTGTAAGTCCTATCTCCTAACCCCCCATACATAGCCAAACAATTTTTTATGATCTATGCTTGGTTTGGAGAGGGGTACTTTTCTAATATATTTAGTCTAATAGTGCTCTCTTAGTGTCCTGTTCTGTGACCCACAGTTTGGAACTGCTGCTTTAGGTAAACACTAAGTTATTCTCTTCACAATAATTCATGCTAGAAAAGTGTTAACATGAGTAATTACTCAACTTTTATGGGTAACCCTATACAATGCATTAAGAACACTTAAGCGTAGTAAGATAGAATATGTAGCTAGTTTTTTATATTTAATCCTCTTGCTATTGGTAGGTCAAAGTGTGTATATTGTGACTTTTCAGGGAGTTAAACTCAAAACTTAATTAAACTTTATTATCATTGTATACAAATAAATTTGGCATTAAAATGTAGTTAATAAGTCATGTTTTAAGATTGTATAAATCTTAAGTTATTATTTTTATAAGGAAATATTTTAAAAAATCCTTAATCTCACCTAGTATGGGAATTGAAATTTGTTCTCAAAGTCTTCCCCCTTCTCTAATTTATTTACCACCATCTGCCAGTGGGACAGTGGTAAATTTACAGACTTACAATGCTAAAATCAGGGATTTGATTCCCCTTGGTGGACACAGCAGGAAGCCCAATGTGGCTTTGCTTTAAGACACACACACACAGAGAAACATATATTTACCATCCTTCTTACAAGTACAGAATTTAATTTAAATTACTCAACATAATAGAGAAATTACTAAGGCAAAGCATAATTTTTATAGCCTTCAATCTTGTTTGTTTATGGAGCCACAAACTAGAAAATCAGACCCACTTGCCATACCTACCTGTCACATTCTCTCTTTCACAAGTTTCCAATAGTCCTCTCTGATGTTTTATGCTATATTATTTATAACAAAGCCAAAGTTTTTATCTATCAAACGATGTATTATATTACATTGTTTTCTGTATAGAGTGTTGTGTATTTTGCTTCCAGTTTCAACATTTCTCTCATGGTATTCACATCAACAAGCTTAGCTTTTAAAATATTCTTATTGCATAGTTAGAAAGCCAGATCAGTTATGATAGTTATAAGATATTGTTTGCTTTGTGCATATTATTATTGTCTGTTCTTGGGTGCATTATTTAATTACATAAAAATTTAGTGTACTAGTAACATTAGTATAAAAAAATAGTAGGCTTAATTTTCATTGACAGTCAACAGCAAAAAAACAAGGACACAGATAAGTACCATGTTTCTTGTTTTTAATGTATATTCTTTATATAATATTATGAAAATAACTAAAATGTAAAAATTATGAACTTTTTAGGTTAGATTAGGTAAGATAAAAAAAAAATAATTCTTCATGAGGTATGCTCGCGAGCAGCTTGTGTTATGTAATTCAATACGGTAACTTGACCTATACATTTGCCAAGTGATCGACAACTTGTGTTGTGGGAGTATTAATTAGACATATGTCAAAGGGCAATAAAACAATAAAATTAAGTATAAGTATATGTGTACTGTTACAGGGTTTAAGCTATTTAGGATAAAAAATTGTAGTCTCCTGTTATAATTTGCAGTCATTCTAGAAAAAAAAAGTGTAACTTAGATTTATTTTGTATTTTTTTATGGTAGTTACAAGATTGGTCAAATTGATTGAATGTGTATGGCATTAGGGTAAAGAAAATAATAGATAAAATATAAAATTTTAATGAAAAAAACATTTAATACTTATTTAGGAGGCTTTAGAGATTATGCAAATGAAATTTGACAATTTTCAGGTGAAGAAAAGTATTTGTAATCTTAACATGAAAAATCACTTTGAACTCAGAGTAGTCAACACTCCATATATTCATGGACAAAGTTTTACTAAAAATACATAATTAAAAATCTGAATTTTTGTGTACAAAAAATGTGTAATGTTTACTGAAAGCTTGACAGATTTTGGGAAGAAACACAAAATGTATTATAAGGTTATAGTATGGAAACTCTGGTGGTCAGTTTAATCTACTGAGCCCATAGTGAGAAGGTTAATACAAGGTGGATATTTCCTTAGGTGCCCAAGGCTTCCTACGTGCTTCTGAACTAGCTCTGGGATTCTTCTGTTTTTAAGCCAATATACAAATTAACATATGGAATTTTTACATAAATAAACAACCTTATATTCTGTAATTTTTCTTAAAAACAATGAAATATATTAGAAACCTTTGTGTACTAGATATTACCAGCTGGTAAACTTACCTATAGAAAAGTCGTGATCACTTTTCTCATTCATCCTTAGTGGATGTTTACCTAAAGTTCTTGTATCTTCTTGACTACAAGAACTACTGATTTATATCTGTATTAGATTTAAGCTTTTGTATTAGATTTAAAGGTAATTGGTAAAGAGACCAGGGTTTTATGGCTTTACTATCATTGTTGATTGTTCTCGTGCTTTGTTGGTACTTATTACAAAAATATTAGAAGTTGATATAATGATTGTTTAGTGTACTACCTGATAAAGATCTATAAATTTAACTCATTAAGTAATCAACATTATTTTTAATGGAGTGTTTGATTTTTGGTACACTCAGCTTTTTTTTTTAATAGAAACTTTAGGCTATTTCTGTTAAGATGGATTATTTAGCCTAAACTATTAGTAACAGTAGATTTTCAGACATATTTAAATATGTGATGATCCAATTTTTTATTTGACATTTGCTAAACCAGAAGATGGAATCTTTGTCTCACATAGTTGCTTTCATTAATTACTTGTTGATGTGATTCAAATCCTTTACTTCCCTAGCTGGCTACCTGTCTTGGATTATATCAATGAACAATATGAAAACTATTTAAGTGAAGAACAAAGTGTAACTCGAAAAAAACATATTCCTGATACACGTATTCATTGTTGTTTGTACTTCATATCTCCCACAGGGCATTCGTAAGTACACGATTAACCTATCCAGATAAATCTGTTTCTTCATAATATTGTACAGGTGTTAGTAGAAACTTTTTGTATGTAACTTTCATTTGTGGCATATTGATATTTAAATTCACTTTAAAAAGTATATTTGAAATATAAATTTATAATTTCTTTTCTAAATCAAAAGCAATTCAGTTAATGAAATGATAAATAGGTTTATTCTCCTTTAATAGAAAATATATATAAATACCAAATGAATAGTTTGTAAAAATCCTAAGTGCAGTCTACCATAAAACATTTCAGAAAGCCATCTGTCAAAATATTGATTCAAATATTTTATAGGCTCTCACCTCTTGATATAGAATTTATGAGAAGGTTGGACAGATGTGTCAACATTGTCCCCGTTATAGCCAAGGCTGATACACTTACCATTGAAGAAAGAGTTGGGTTTAAACAAAGGGTAAGTTTTATAATCTTATTGCATAGTAATAGTTTAACCATTAATTGGGTCTTGTATGGCCTGATGTTTAGGGTGCTTGACTCGCATCCTTAGGTTGTGGGATCAAAATGCATCAATGAATATGCTTGCTCTATCAGCCATGGTGTAGTTATGATGTGACAGTCAATCCAACTATTTATTGATAAAAGAGTATCCCAAAAGTTAGATGTGGGTGGTGTTGACAAGTTGCTTTTCCTCTAGTTTATCACCTCAAAATTAGAGACAGCTAGTGCAGATAGCCCTCGAATAGAGCTTTGCACAAATTTCAACAAACAAGCACCCAAACCATTTCATAACATCTTTATGAGAAGATACTTTCACTAAAGAGGTAGAGAACAATAATAAATTTAAACAAATATTAAGGAGAATAAATTGAAATATAAGGTAATGTAAGTTTTACACAATAAAAGCACATAAAAGTTTATTTCAAATGTTATAACACATGTATACAATAGAAGTATTTGTCCAAATATAGCTTAACCCTATGTGCATGGATTGATCCATTGGACCAATTCTGTTTTGAAGAATTATTGTCCACTATAATTCTGAATTTATTGCAAATCTTCACGAAATTTGGGAAATTATTAGTCAAAGTGAAAAATCTACACAAAAAAATCAGAATTTTTAATAAAGTATTTTTACTAAAGATTTATCTTTGAATTTACTAAATCAATTTATGGTCCACTACTGTTTTATGAAGATCCTGTTTACCATCTCCTATAATTTATTTTAACTTGTGTCTAAGTGCAAAATTGCCAAAAAATCAACAGGACACATCACCAATTTCTTAGCCCCTGTTAACAGCTCAAGCCAAATAAATATAGTATTACCCATCTCTGTTATAGGACCTCCTAAATGAATATCAAAAGTGTTTTTGTAAATATTTATATTTTATCTGTAATTTTTGTCTACCTTAACATTAATTGTAGCAAAATCATTAATCGTGATCAGTGTACTGCAGAAGGAAAAAGTTGAAAAATATAAAATAAAGTGAACAGTTTTTTTTCTTTATTCCTTTAATGCATAACTTCCCTTGTTTCATGTACTTTTTAATCTTCAGATTTTCAATTGTTAACTTTTTAACATCTATTTTTTTTGTAAATTTATGATTTTATTGTTGTACTTAGTACCTACTTAAACACTAATTTTCTTGTCAAAAACAATAAAAACAGTGGAAGGTAATTATCCAGGAACTGTAAACATCATGAGTGAAGTATATGTGACCTGTATGATCAGTACAAACATAACTGAGCTAGACCTCACCTTTTTTTCACTAAGTTAGTTCTCCATATAAAAATTCTTGGAACTTCTAAATAAACTGTACAGCACAAAACATATTAGGCAATAGAATATATATTTTTTAAATAACTATAATTTAACTGACTTCCTAACTAAGCAATAAATAGGATAAAATAAATTCATTTTCCTGCTTGGAGCAGAAAAATACAATTCCCTAATATCATTGTAGGGGCTAATATGAACTATCCTCCTATTGACTTTTAAAAAAACAATCTGCTCTTTCTATTGGTTATAAATAATTCCATAGCAAATGTCAGATAGAATTATTGGTATTTTGAGATAGGAGACGTGTGGCATGTGGATTTGACTTCTTTTTTCTTTTATCTCAATAAAGCAAGTTGCTTGGTGGCTAGAAATTTTTATTCTGGCTTGCCAGTATCCACAGTATAAGTGTGTAATTGATGTTGTATTTATATCATCTGCTTTTGTAAATTGTATGTAGAATAGAAATTACTAAGTTTCTAGAGATGATTTTGTTATACTTGTGTCATCTTGATCAAGAAAGCATAGTTATAATTGACTTAATATACTAATTGCAGTGTTAATAAAAAAAAGAGATTAGGTACAAGGCTCTGTTTTTGATAAACCGTTCTAGATTAGCAGCTTAAAAAAATTTTGTAATTTGCAAATTATATTTTAGATCAAGCAAGACCTTGCAAACAATGGAATTCGAACCTATCCAATGAAAGAACTTGAAGAAGATCCAGAGGAGACAGTGACAAACAATAAAATTAGGGTAAGAAAGTTAGTGATATACTTGAATAATGTTGTAATTAAGGTGAAATAGTGTCCATAGAACTGTTTACTGATTAACCCTAATCAGATTAGTGAACATAAAATTGGCTTATATACAAGTTTAATTTGGCTAATAGGATATTTGCAACTGATTTTATCCATTTTATCTCTGTTGATCAAAAGTGTTCCCTTCCTTTTGATGTTCTGAGATGGCCAAATTAGGTTCTTTGTTATAAATCAAGTTTTATTGTTACATAATTTTTTAATTGGGGGGGGGGGGGTCTAATTGACTTTGATGTATAGTAAGTAGAGTATTTGAAGGTTTTGATGTATAGAGTAACATCTGTCTTGTGGTAATGTAAGGTTATTTATGTAAAAATAATTATATATAGATCTAAGCAGTCTCAAGTTGTAAGAGTTTTGAGTGAACTGAATTAATTAGGATGCCTGTGTTTGGAATTAAATGGTTTTGTGATATAAGTGTATAAATGAAGTTAACATTGATATTATGATTTACACACTATGGTAACCCACAACTTGTGTGTTTGTAAAGTAGTTTGATCTGTAAGCTAAGTATCCAAGTTTTTAGTTCTTTGTCATTCCTTATTGTGATAATGGTTTGACATACTGTATGGTTAATTTAGTTAAATCACTGATGCATTGCTTCCATAACTGGATAGGTTTTATCTTCTAAAAGCAACTCAGGTTTAACATTATGGCAAACTAATAGTGAACACTAACCTTCTAGTGATGCACCTTAATCATTCATCTCTAGTAGATATGGTCAAAAAGAAAACTTATATTTTACTTTAGGATTAGGGAATGAAGTGATAATGTAAAATTCAATAAAATATCAACTATTTGCTGAATCATGTTGAACCAGAAAAAGTATTATTGTAGGATGTTTGTGCCTGCCATTGTCTTTAGACTTTTGATTGATCAGGTTATAACTGTTACATGAAAATGTGGTTTTTACTCTGAAGCTTGTGCTGGAAGGGAATTTCAACTGTTGTACCAAATTATTTATTACTTTTATTTCATTGAAGCTTTCTTGGTTGATTTTTTTGTGTGGTGTTAGCTAATAATATTTTTGATCAAAATTAAAATTATGTTTAGGAATTGTTACCATTTGCTGTTGTTGGAAGTAACCAGCAGTATCCAAACAATGGAAGAACAGTGTATGGACGAAAGACACAATGGGGTCTAGTAGAAGTAGAGAATAGAAGCCACTGCGAGTTCTCGGATCTTCGAGATATGCTTATAAGGTCAGTTTTTCCTTTCACTGAAGAGGAGTTCAAAAGTTGTAATCAACAAATAAGAATTTATAGCTTACTCGTATGTAATACTGGTTTTAGGTGCATATTTTTCAATATTTTTATCTTTACAAAACCACCCTATCAGTGCACCTATGAAGAGTAATATTTCAGTAGCAATTACTGTAAGTATAGCATAAAAACTTTAAGTATTAAAATGATTGACTAGATTATTAATTGATGTTAAATCCTTAATTTTCATTAAGTATTCCTCAGATTAAAATGTTACTTTAATGTAAAAAATAAAAATACACTTAACTGTTAGTGTTTTATAATTATGTTTTCATATAGTAAACATCACTTTATATTCTTTTAAATGTTTTTAGAATCAATTATTTTTAATAATTAAACAACTTGATATAGTTGATAATTCAAAATGTATTTTGTATCCTTTCCTTAGAACATCGTGTATGTCTCACTAGAATAATGCCTTCTGAGGAAGTTAGTTTGATGATATAAACATTTATATTTTAGAATTGAACAAAAACTTATTAGGAATTAATATTAACTTTAAATCAGAAAAAGCTACTTACTTAGAGCAAAACTAAAAATCAACCTGTAATGTGTATAGCTAATTAATTATACTTTCTTACTGATTAAGAATATAATGTATTATTATATCCATTGGATATCTTCCACCATGAACTTGGTAATATCTCGTGATGTTTAGCTAGTTTATGAGACTTTAGTTATTTCCTTAAGTCCATATGCTATGTTAACAGTGCAAAATATTCTCTACAATAAATTTATAATAATGATAAAAATTAATAAAGCTAGATATTGTGAACATATGAACTAATACTATTTGAAGTTAGTTTGTATTAAATATTTGTTTTTAGAACTCACATGCAAGATCTTGTGGAAGTAACTCGATCTGTCCATTATGAAAACTTCCGACAGGACCGCCTAGCCTCACGTCGAGGACGTACCCAGTTCAATGGGCAGGTCATAGATATGGACAGTATGAATGAGAGTAGTCTGTAATATGACCAAGTCCACATTTAATGACCTTAAATTGACACACAATGTTGAAAGGAACAAACTTTCTCAAGATTTTATGATGGCATAAAGAATCCAGTTGGTATGAGAGTAAATGGAATACAATGAACAATATGCATGTGACAGAATCATGCCTCATTATAAGTCCATTTAACTTGTGGCTCATCTCATCTGAGTGTTTGTGTTATTTTGCTCATATTTGAAATCAAATTTTCCTTTTATTTTCTATTGCATTTCATGTTTTTGAATTTTTGTCCCTTTTAAGCAATTATGAAATAATCTACTGCTTATTTTGTTTTAAGTATCCTTTAGAGCCATTTAATCTAAATGTTTACTTACTTGTGAGAGTTTTCTGTTCTAATTTAGACATTGTAAATGAGAGTCTCCAAACATGTTGTTATTTTGAAGATCTAATAAATATGAAGAATTTTCTATTTATTGTATTAATCAAGCTATAAAATATCTTTATTTAACTTAAAACTCTTGAACACAGCTGAATGAACTTATGTGATTAAGGAAGTTTTTTACCAGATAAAAAACTAAAACTCTGTGAAGTAAACATAACATTCAGTTCATGTTCTAGTTTATGTAATACTAGTTCTTACCTAGTCTGTCATTTCAAATATGGATAGATGCCACTAGGGTTTAGTGTGTCTTCCAGTTGATGAGTGTTTACAGCTTCATGTAACCTTCATAGTTATGAGAGGTGTAAAAACCTTCACAATCATGATACAGAATCTCTGTACATTTCTCTCAACTTCCATACATGTTGGTAACCTAAAGGTGATATCTTCTGTTTTTACTTTGAAAAAAATGCTGTTTTTCTCAGGAAAGTCAGTGAAGTTGTATAATCTTTTAACTTAGAAGCTCTATGACTACATTGGATTCCCAGCTAAACCACATTCGTACAAAATAATATCCTGGTAGCATTTGGTATTAGGAAAAGTAGGTTGCTATTAATTATCTTGATATTATTTGCAAGATTTTATGAACTCAAATATGTAAGTAATTGTGAATTTTTCGTTAGTTTCAAGTCATTTCCAGTGTTTAAGTTGTAAGTCTAACCCCATTTGATTATTCTGTATTGGCAATATTAATACTATACTATAAAATTTGAAATGTATTTGTGTATAAGAGGTACAAATTAATTACCAGATTTTAGATGTATGTGAATGCTTTTCATGTGTGATAAACTCAGAATTTCTATATGTTTGAGAAATGTCTTCTTTAAATATCCTTTCATATAAACCTTCCATAAAATATATATTAAATTGCTGAAGCTTGTTGGGAAAAAATAAATAGTAAAGTATCAGTCTTAACTATTTTTTCCTATGAAAGTAAAACATGAATTTTCCATTCTGTATAAAACTTAAAGGTATATATATTAAAATGGTTAACTTAAGCTTACAGTGAATTGAATATGATATGTATAAAAAATCACTTAAATGTATGTTTTATTTTACAGTTTTTACTTAACTATTTCAAACACTGCACTGAAATGAATAAACTGACAACTTTTAATTTACAGAAGGTGGTAATAAGTGAAGAAGATATTGTCAACATTGTAGTTTAAATAAGCAATATTAAAGTTTTACTAACCTAGATATTTTTTAAATTAACAAGTGTGCTGTGTTTAAACTGCTGTAGTCTCAAGGTTTTTGTTTTTCCAACATACTTGTAGCTGGTAAAATTGGTGTACTGTTGATTATAGGTTCCTCTAATATAATTTTATTTGTAGTCTTAGCTAGTTTTGAGCGATTGAAAAGACCACTACCAAACTGAGAAAAATTTGTATTTTTTGTTTAATTTTCAGTCAAGATTCTCTCTATTTATTAACTTTTTTTCAGTATCAACTTGCAAGTGACATGCTAGTCAGTCTAATAAAATTAACATATTTAAATGCTATGGGTACAATTGTTATTGGGTCTGATTTCATCTAATAGTTTATTCTTTGATTACCAAGGTCCTTGTTACCCAATAGTTTTAAGCTCTTTTTTTTTCTAGAAATAACAGATAATTCATGAAGGTAATTGTGTAGCGTATGTCCACAGGAATTGAAGATTTTTTCAACAAATGTTGGAATTAATCTTGATTGAAAGAAATTAGAGCTTTGTCAGTGAAGAATGGAATGAATGATCTGCCTAAGAAACATGAATGAAGAATGAGATTTCATTGCTGATATTTAAACCTGAAGAAGATTCTCACCAGTGCAAAATATCCTCCGTTTCAAAAACTTTATGAAATTTGTTATCTGTTTGTTGTAATTGTTTTTTTATGTTTATTTTTCCATTGTGTGTTTTGTTGAATTTATACAGGGATTACAGTGTTTTATTAACTTTAGATTTTAAAGATATCTTTCCAGAGGTGGACACCATTTCTGCATCATCCAGCTTTAATTAAGCAGAATTTGAGGAACCATCATACTATTTAGAAATAAAATATTTTGGCTGACACATTAGAAAAAGTTCTGTTTGGTAGGATAAAGAATGAATAATGATGTTGAGTATTTGTTTTTCAGTAGTTTTAAAAGTACTTAAGGTTTTATAAAATTTGTGTTTACCTTATAGAACAAAATACTACTGGTGTTAATTTTCTTGCATTAGGTATTTTTATGTTCTAATAAATTGCTATAAACATGTAAGTTAATCTGTTGTGTTAACTTGTGTATAACTTTAGTAATTTATTTTATAACTCTAAAGATACACAATTCAGTTGTCTTTGCATCCATCTATAGAGCATTAAATTGTTTCTTACTGTTATACTAAAATTGATGTATTTTTTTAATGTTCAGTTGGTGTTTTAATAACACTATACAAAACAGTTATACTTTGATTTTTTTAATCATTATTTCATGTAGTATGACTACTGCAGATATGCAAGAATATATCTGTTAATATTAAAACACATGAAATTATTCTCAGCTTCACACTCAAACTGCTTTCTGTATTATCGAAAGAAATTAAGACCAAGATTATTTGATCCTCAAATTAACTCATTTACATATCATTCACTACAAAACTCATGGGAAAGAAATAACAAAAACATTGGATGAAATTACTCATTTTCTTTAGAAAATACATAAGAAACTAGCATTAACCACCTTGGGTCAGTTGCAGTATTGACTGTATTGGTATTTGCATTGTGTTTGTGGCTTGTGTTATAAAGGACCCTGTAACCAACGAAATCATGAATCATAAGCAGAGGTCTCATTTACACAGAATTTTGTATTATATACAAAAGAAATTTTAATAAAACATTACAGCACTGCATTTCTAAGATGCAAATATAACAAGACCTACTGGTTCAAATTTCAAAGCATTTTTTTATGTAATGCAACATGGAAAACATACCACTGCCCTTAGCATCCTCTTAAAAAAAATCCGGATGCATATATCCAAAAGCTGCAGGAGTGAATTACCCAATACCTTTTGTTAGACCACATACCCCAGTTGAGAATGTAAACAGTATTATTCTCTAATAAAACTAATGTTATCTCATAAAACTGGGTAATATATTACAGAATATATTAACATTACTTTAACTTTGACTTATTTTGGTTAATTTAAGATTTGTGGTCATTACTGGTTTGTCAAAAATACTAGCTTATTATAGTGGAAGTCTCTTTTCTTTCATATAAAAGATACTGAAAAGTTGGTTACAGTGGTACAAAGAGCTTTTAAATAGTTAATTATGTTTCACACCACCATTGTAAAAATAAAACAGTACAGTGACTAGCATGGAGAAGTTAAACAATGTTGTTAATGTAATAATACTATATTATCTTAATAAAATTCCAGTTTTGGCCTGGTTAGTAGAACACTAAACTCGAAATCTGCAGGATGTGAGATCGAAACCTTTACAGAACATGCTTGCCCTTTCAGCCATCTGAGCATTATATTTTGATGGCCAATAACACTATTTGTTGGTGAAGAGTAGCCCAAGAGTTAGTCATGGGTGCTGCTGGCCAATTGCCTTTTGTACAGTTGGCAGTACAAAATTAGGGATGGTGCTAGATAGCCCCAGTAGCTTTGCTATAAACAAACCTTTTTGTTTTCTTCTTAATCATTCCGTAATGATTTTCAAACTTTGTAAGATAAAGTCATAATTATAAAAGTTTTATTTTACAAAATATGTTGAAATTATTCAACTTTTTGTTTTATTTTAAATTTAAGCTACTTAAGGATATACTTAATTGTTACTATTGTAATGCTAGAAGTATAAGAAATATAATAGATGACTTTAGAGCACTGGTAGGAATGGAAGATTGATATAATGGGAATAACTGAAACATGGTTAATGTAGATGGTTTAGATGACAGAAATTTCTTTGAAATACAGGGTTACTGGCTATTTAATAGGGATAGTGTTAAAGAGGGGGTGAGGAGTGGCTTTATATGTAAAATGTGTTACATCCTGTTGAAGTTGAGTATATCAAAGATAATAGCAAGGAGATTCAATCCATTTGGGTTTCTATTAGTGGATATAAAGGGAAAAGGCTTTTAGTAGGAATTTGTTACAGAACACCAAATAATACTGATGAAATTAGTGAGAAACTTTACAATGACATTAATATTTCGGATGTTAATGAAGTCATAATTATGGATGATTTTAATTTTGGGCATATAGATTGGGAAATTCTAGAGTCAAACCATGAGGAAGAAAGGTTTTTGGAAAGTGTTAAGGATGGCTTTCTTCACCAATTAGTCAAGGAGCCTACTAGAAACAATGCTATTTTAGCTTTATTGTTAACTTCAAATACAGAAATGATTAAGAGGATGGAAATTGGGGAACGTCTAGGTGAAAGTGATCATTGCTCTATTTGGTTCAATGTTTTGTTGCATATGGAGATAAGGAATAATGATATTTTGGTTACAAATTTTGAAGGGATGCAACAAGAATTATCTGTTGAGAACAAAAATTTAAGCAGTATTCAACATCTTAAACAGTTGATAAATAGAAATGAGATCAAAGAAGGTGACTGCATTAATTCTGAGCTGGTTAAGAAAAAATTGGGAAGTTAAAAAATAATAAGGCTCCTGGGCCAGATAATATTTCCCCAAAGGTCTTGAAGGTGGTTAAAGATTGGATATGTGAGCCACTTACTACTATTTTTTTGTCAGTCCTTGAATAGTGGGCAGGTACCAGAAGATTGGAAGTTAGCTAATGTAACTCCTCTTTTCAAGGGAGGTGACAAAAATTGTATCAGTAATTACAGACCCATTAGTCTTGCATCAGTTGTGGTAAAAGTTTTGAAAAGTCTGATAAAAGATGCTTTGTGAAGTCATTTAACAAAGTTTAGAATTTTATTGGATAGTCAACATGGTTTCACTAAGGGAAAGATCTTGCCTTATGAATCTTTTGACATTCTTTGAAAAAGTTACTGCTTGTGTAGATGAGGATAAGTGTGTAGATTTGGTGTATCTGGATTTTCAGAAAGCATTTGACAAGGTGCCACATAAAGGGCTGATAAAAAATTATCTCTATAGGTGCAGGGAATAAGTTAGAAAATTGGATAGAAAAGTGGCTGGATTGAAGAAAACAGAGGGGTTGTTACAAATGGAGTTCAGTCAAAGTGGATTAATGTCACAAGTGGTGTACCTCAGGGCTCAGTCTTAGGACCTTTGCTCTTTTTGACTTACATCAATGAGAGATGAAGAAATATTCAATAAATTACTTAAATTTGCAGATTATATTAAGGTCTTGGGTGTTGCTAGCTGTGAAGAGGATGCTGCTGATTTAGAAAAGGATTTAGATCATTTAGTTGGGCAAATAAATGGCAGATGGGTTTTAATTATAATAAATGCAAGATAATGCATATGGGTTATCATAATTTGAATTATAAGTATAATTTGAATGGGAATAACCTTAATAGTGTTATGAAGGAAAGGGATCTTGGTGTAATACTCGATCAGTTTCTAAAGTCACCCAGGCAGTGTGCTGTTGCTAGAGGTAGGGCAAATAGGATTTTAGGTTGTATATACAGAAATACTGAATACAAGTCTAAAGAGGATATTGTTAATTTTAGAGTTAAAATCATAGGAGTTTACAACATTTCATCTAGTGAAAACCTTACAGAAAATTACCAACAATACCTACCATGTTTAACATCTAAAACTAGCCAGCTAGATGTATTCTAGTAGTGTGAGCACACTACACATGGTACTAATTTACTGGAATCACTATATACCTTTGCAAACACCCCCTGTAATCTGGAATCATTCTTATTCACTTGTCCACTGTCATTGATATCTGCTGATTTGTCTACACACAACCAACCAGACACAAACATTTTAGTTCCTCCTAAAAGGAAACCTTCGTAACGTAGAACCCAGCCACTTGGGCAAGTCTCTCTTCCATAGAAAGTCTGGACCTCTGATGCACCCTCTTCTTTGCACATGGCACACTTCAACTTCCCTTCCTGGTCAGTCAATGGAATAACAACTACAGCTCCATGTAGAGAAACAAGCCAGTCATTCTTGAGATGCTTGTTTTCATGCGTGACTGAACCGTTTTCTGGTGTGCAGAGGAAGTTTCCTCCACCCCCAAATGTTTCTGCAGATGGCCCTACTGAGTATCCACTGTAAGTGGTAGATACACGGAGTCCGGTGCAATTTATTTTTCCCCAGTGGATATAGACAGCAGTCTGTTTTATCAGGCGATCTATTGCTGTTTATGTGAAAGAAATAATACACCCTCAAGAACTTGAAAGAATTCAGAAAAATGAACAATAAGTACACTTGGATAAAACAACATGAAGATAGAATACATTTGAATAGTATGCTTTCATGAGCATTGAGTATGCTTGAATGTTACAAACTTCCATTACCTTGGGTAATACATTTTCTTGAATGTCAAGTACAGTTTTATGAGCTGAAAAGTTAAAATAATGGTATTAAACTAGTATATGCTGTATTCAGTACCTAACAGTTTATTGACCTGCTTTCATGTATATATTATCACTATGAAATTGTAAGCTTTATGATATTAGATATCCTTTAATTTATATGGAATAGTTTGTTGTCTAAGAGGGTATACTAGATTCATTTCACTGTAGATTTTGGGTACATGCTTGCAGAAGTCATGAGAATTTTAGGACTCTTTGGACATTTGGAAAAATATCAATGTTTTTATAGTGTTTTGTGACATATGCATAAAATTATCCTATAATGACCAAACTAAGTTTAGAACCACAAAAGCTCATAACATTGGGTTTGTATGTGCATGCATGGCCATAGCCTCAGCAACTTTACAGGGGAGGCAATATTCACAAAGACACTGAAGCTTAACAGGGCAAAGTTATAAATATCTTTAAAATTATCAGTATCATAACACACAAATATACATAATTCTTGTAACTGTTAAATAGTTATACTTCATAAGTTACATCATTATTTAGAATTTTTATTTTTGCAAAGCAATTTCAGGTTACAGCCCTGGTGTGTAATATGTAATTTCTTTACCTAGACAAATAGAATTCAAATAAAAGGGGGGGTCCTGATTTTCTGAAAACATAACACCTTACCCAAACCACCTTTTATAGATAAGCACATTAACCTGCCTTTTGACGGGTGATGGCTCTTAAATATTTCTGTTTCATAGAGCTACTGCCATGCTGACTGTAGCTTATAGACAGTAAGTGCAATTAAGACTTGGAATGCTATGGGTCAAGAAATTGTAAGCTTAACCATTATAGTTTACTTTTTTCTTCAGATATGAAGAGACAGACATCTATAGACTGAAAGACATATCTCCATCTCGTATGGGGGACTGTTTCCTCAAAACCCTTTCTGCATAAACATACATTTTTCAGGCTGAAATACATCCCATCCATGTCACATAAGGGTACTATTTCCTAAAGACCACCTACATCTCTGAATCACTTGTTCTCGTATATGAGAGATCTAGTGTTGAACTTTATATTTGTTTGTTTATTGTGTTCCTTTTACAAGATCAAGATGTATTGACGTGATAGCTCAACAGTTTTTTGTTTTTTTTATTTGATATTCATCGTGCCCATTTTTCAGTTCATGCATTACCCTGAGATCAGCTAAGCAACTGTTTCAAATGTACATACCTTATATTGGCAGTTTATCAAAGTCTTCAGATTTTAAGTATCACATTTTAACATTAAATTTCATTTTTTAATTAATGCCAGCTAATTTTTATACATTTTAAACTTAACATGATTAATTAAAAATAATTGTTTTCATTTATTTCATCATATACATGGTATTCATAAATGAATATTAAATATATGCTCAATTTTAAACTCACTAACCTCTGTTATTAGGATACGCATTTGTAGGACACTTCTTTTATTTACGTTTGTGAACTGTACTGTGTCAGGTAATTATTTTTGATGTATAAATATGGAGATTCATATCATAGTTAATCTGAAAGACAATAAGTTAGAACGAGGATCTGTACAACTTCTAGAAGGTTGTTTGTCAGTAGCAGAAGCATTTATCTTGGGCATTAACAGGAAAATGTAGTTTCACTGGTGGATAGAGTAAATTATTTGACAAAATGTGTTGTCATCTAATAAGTTATATTGCACTCTTTTTTTTTTTTCAGTACTGAAAGGAGAAAATTTCATAAGGCATCTGAATCTGCTTGTATTGTTTTAGTAGTATGAGCTGTTGGAAGTGATGCATTGAATGTGGGTGAGTGTTTTCTAGCAAGTGTTCTTTTAGTAAGTATTGGTTCCTGTTATTTCATTGCTTCATTTCAAGATGGTAATGCAACAATTCACCATACTCTTAATGTCTGAACATGATTCAAAGAGCATGACATTGACTTCACCCACTTTCTACAACAAGCACAATCAGTAGATTGCAATCCAATTTAGCATCTCTGTGATGGACTGGAACATTGTATAAGCAACCATTATTCTCCATGAACCAAAGGCAGTTTCATGCTCTTCAATGAAAAGTCTACAGTTGAATATGACACTTTCTTCTATCTTATGCTATGTTAAGTGTAGGCTATTATCATCGTGAAAGGTGGCCCAACCTGATTGAATGATAGCCCTAACAATATGGTCAGTTATTGTAGCAGCAGGCTTAGTTCCAGCAGGGATGATTAGTGCAACAGGTACAGAGGCCAGAATAACAGTAATTGTAATTATATTTTGCATGAGACCAATGTAAAAAAATTCAGAATTAAGATCAAATAACAACTTTATGTGGATGAGAAAGCTGCAAAAATATCTATAAAAATATTAACTTTGTGGCCTCTCCACATACAGTTGTTGTATTACACACATTTTCAGACCACATATATGGACATTTAAGTTGGGTTCAGTAGGGAAGGTAGTCTGAATTTTGCTCTTAACCTGATGTCACACCATATTTTAGCTATTGATGTAAAAAAAGCAATAAGATGTTGTAAGAACTAAAAAGGTTAAAGTAACTTTTGAATGAATTTGGCCTTCCTACTTTGTAAGTTGTGTTTTCTGTATCAAATAATAAATCTTGAATGTGACAGTTCCTCAAAGTTAATTGTTTCAAGTGTGAACTGAAATAACAACAGAAACAGCAAGTAAATAATCAGTAACTTCTGGCTTTTCAAAGTGATATATTTAATAGATTTTAAGATTATAGAGCTAAATTTGTAAAGAACATCTCAGAAAACAAATTGTTTTTCCATTTCTATACACTTTTTGTAAACTGTAGTTTAGAGACCTAAGTTTTCAGATACCTGTGCTACCTATGTGATAAAACACTCCTTTATAAAGTATGGAATTTTTCTATTACTGTTTATGCAAAGAAAAATATATCTGTACTTTCAAAAAATTAAAATTCCATTTCAGCTTTTATAGTGTGTTATTTTATCAACTGATTTTGAATCTTAAAACACAGCTCACCCTTTATTCTCCTAAAGTAGAATAGTCAACTACTCA